CCCCAAAAGCTCCCGAACCTAATGAATGCAACTCTTCGTACAAACGCTTGTAATCATTCAGTTCGGAAACAACTATATAACAAATTAAATTCATTCATTAATTCATTCACAAAGTACGTACAGTCAGAAAGTCATTAACATTCACGATTAACACATTTACTTGAACAAAAATATGAAAATCTCATAGAAATTAGTTACGAAATTAATAAAGTTAACTTTTACATTTTACAATATTCTCTTTTCGAACGCTAATTGCAGTTAGAATTTAAATCTAAAGAAATTGTCTAATGAAAAGCAAATTTCTAAACAAATTATTTTAATTATATTTATGCAAAAATAAATAATATACGTATAATTTAATTACTCTTTAGTAAGCCTACAACACATCCCCGTCCCCTTTGAGTACTACTTTTGGATGACTTTTTAAGAAAAATGAATGAATTAATGAATGAATTTAATTTGTTATATAGTTGTTTCCGAACTGAATGATTACAAGCGTTTGTACGAAGAGTTGCATTCATTAGGTTCGGGAGCTTTTGGGGAAGTATGTGTTGTTAAATATAAATATGATGGACGAGAATATGCGGTTAAGAAAATAAAATACCAAGGTAATTTAATGGATTTAGATATATTTTGTATAACCACATTAAATTGTATTATACTGTATTCGTAGATCATCAAATTTTGTCATGTTTTGTCAAATTTAGAATTATTTATAATTATCAAAATTAATACACTTACAGGTGCTGACCAATTACGGGAATGTATGCGAGAAATACAAAATTTGATAAAAGTTAGGTCAGAATATTGTGTCCAATATATGAGACAATGGAATGAAGCCAATGTGTATTACATTTGTATGGAGTTGTGTTCCCATAGTCTGCAGAATATTCTTCAACACAAACCACAAGTATTTGATCGACAACCGGAAGATCCCATGAATTCAATCGAGTTTTACATTTCGTGTCATATATTCAAAGAGATCTTAGAATGCGTTCAATATTTACACGAATTGAATCCTCCGGTCATTCNTACATTTCGTGTCATATATTCAAAGAGATCTTAGAATGCGTTCAATATTTACACGAATTGAATCCTCCGGTCATTCATAGAGACCTCAAACCTGACAATATATTACTGGCGAAGACTGTAAGGAACGGCAGGTTTTTCAAAGTATGTGACTTTGGTGTGGCTACTGTTCACCCGCACTCGTCAGATAAGGGAGACCTCACATATCAGGCGCCAGAAGTGGGTCGAGGAGTGGTCTATAACCATAAGATAGATATCTATAGTTTGGCTAAAATTGCAGAAAAAATTTTTGGGGTTCATTTGGAGGACAAACCGTAAGATAATGTGAATTAATATTTAAATTATTTAATAATTAATTAAGTTTTTTATATTTATTTGAATATATTCTGTAGTTTACAAAAGTATTCAGACAATGAAGTTATAAACAATTGTGTGATTAAATTAACACAAGTATTACATACAATGTCATATTATAACCGGAATCACCCGCGCATACCCGGCCCTCACTGGACAGACAGACCCGAGTGTTCAAAAGTATTATCGGAATATAATGAGTGGTTTATTGATAAGAATTGTCTCAAAACTGATCCCACATTTGATTCCACACTAAATCTCATTCAACAAAGCGATTACAAATTTTTTGCGGAATATTTTAATGCAAAATATGAAGGAATTGAAGCAAATTTAGAGAATATTCACTTAAATTCATTCAAACCATTTCGCATTGAAATTGATTATAAAAGTAGTTTCAATGGATATTATGGTAAAACATTTGATGAGATGTCGGTTATAGGATCGGGTAGTTTTGGGACCGTATTGCGAGTGAAACAAAAATCTGATGGACAGTTATTCGCCGTCAAATGCATTAAATATAATGGTAATATTTTTTATAAATAAATATTAGAAATCTAAACTATATTTTTCACAGATTTAGATGAAAAAGAAACCGAAAATGTAGTAAAAGAAGTAAAGAATTTGGAAAAAGTTAAGTCTGAATATGTGGTCCAATATTACTACTCATGGCGTGAAACCGGATGTCTTTACATACAAATGGAGTTCTGTTCCAATAGTCTGCAGAATATTCTTGAAGTAAAACCACAAGTATTTGAGAGACAATCGGGAGAACCCATGGATTTATACGAGTATTTCATTTCGTGTGAAATATTTCGTCAAATCTTAGAATCCGTTCAATATTTACATGAATTGAATCCTCCGGTCATTTATAGAGACCTCAACCCAGAAAACATATTAATTGCACACAACGTAAGGGACGACCGGTTTTTGAAGTTATGTGCATTCGGTTTGGCTACAGTTCACGACAAACGCGTTCACTACAGGACTACTCAAAAACATACGGCAGATATCGGGGACTTAAGATATATGGCACCTGAAATAGATCAGGGTAGAAAGTATGGCCATAAATCAGATATTTTTAGCCTTGCATTAATTGGTGGTAATATATTTGACGTGGACGTGTTTCATATTGAACCAAATAAGTTAAGGTAATTTCCAACACTATGTATTACTGTAGTAACAAATTAAATATTAAAATATTGTTTTATTATGATATAGCTCCCTCATATATTCGCCAAATGAAATTCTAAATTCACCAGTGTCAAAATTATACAAACTATTATCAACAATGTTTTTACGGAATTGGAATCATAGGCCTGAATGCAGTGAAGTGTTACAGAATTATAACGAGTGGTCAATCGATAGGAATATTCTTATAAGTCATACGGAATTTGTCGAAACATTAAATAGACTGAAATCCAATGGAAATCTATTTTTCTATAAATTATTGTCAACTTTTACCAGAGATGTGAAAGGTTCTACCCCAAAAGACCTAAAACCGAAAAGACGTAAACTTAAATAACTAACTGACCAATGGACATATTTTTAATTTGATAAGTGGAATAGACGTGTCCTGACCTGACCTAACTTACCATAACCAAAATTAAGCCAAATGACCACTGGTCAGTTAGTTATTTAAGTTTAAGTCTTTTAGGCGAGTCCCGATGTGAAACCACTTTGTGACACAAAGATTGTTTAAAACTATTTTAAAAGTAATTGGTTATTAAAATCTATATTTTATTCCATACCTAATAGTGTGGAAATATTGACTTGATAACTTACAAATGGATACTTTTAATATAACAAAAATATTGGAGTTAAATGAAAGTGATTTAAATAATAGTTTATCGGCTAATGATTGTTGTATTGATGGACCACTAAAGGTGGTTCCAATGAATGGCAAATAGTTGTTTGGTTTGGGAATAATTCGTTTTATTAAAATAATTAAGTTTCAAATAATTTCCTAAATTGTTAAATATAACTATAAGTGTAATTTATCATTGTGAACTTAATAATAATATGTTTTATATAACGTGTATTATTTAGTTATATTAAAATAGTTAAATAATTATTTGTTACTAAACATTGAAATATAAAATATTCTCAACTTTTCTGAATGTTATACAATATACAGTGTTTGACAAAACCCTTTGGACTCGATGTCTTAAAATTACTATATGTTAAAGTTGAGCTAGATCAATATAAAATTTTTGAGAAATATGGTTTTATTGCACCAAAATGTTGATATGCCCTATTTGTGCCTGCTCAAAAGGGGCCGGGATGGAGAACGGGTCATCGAGATCTCAAAAACTATAAGTGATAATCAAATTCTGATTTTTGGAAATGATGAGCGGGTCATTTGTAAAAAAGTAATTTCTGGATTTCTCGAAATTTTACTTAGTTGATTTTTAAAAATTCCCTAAATGTCAAAACTTGACATTTTAAAATGTATTTATCTCAGCAATGGATGAATGTATCGGGATCATCTCAGCACAGTTCGAATGATCTTTCAAACTATTAAAAATAATCTGCTAGCGCCTACACTTTTATCCTGACAGCAGCTTAAATTCTTAATTAATCAATTAATCAATTTTGATAATAAAATCTATTTGTGAATTAAATTAAAATATTCAGATTAATTTTTAAAAACATAAAAAGTTTATACAATGTATTGAATCACAGAATATTCCACAAAAGTATCGTGTATTATATTCCTAACCCAATAGATTGCAGTCCAGTATATAAATTGCATACTTTTGTGAACCGCTTATCGCAGTCACAGTTAACGCTACAAACTATACGTTTGAACCCTTTTTAGGTGTTATTCCCGACTTTCCGCACAAATTATAAATAAATGAATACAAAAAACTTAAGTATAAATCACAGTATAATAAACACAACAATTAATTCATTGAATCGTTTGAATTTAATAACAAATTTACAAATCAGAGTATTTAACTAAAAATCTCCATAAAAAACACTAAAATATTGTAATTGAGTGCAAAAATATGACATTTTATTCATTAAATCAAAAACATATTTAACAAGAAATTACTCACAAAATTCAGTAGACTTTTCAAAGGGGAACGAGAGTTGAATTATATACGGGTGAGGGTATGGGTGAGGGTATGGGTGAGGGTATGGGTGAGGGTATGGGTGAGGGTATGGGTAAGGGGTATGTATTAGAAAATGGGAGCACTCGGTAACGACTTGAATATCCGTCTCATTTAGATATTAAACGGATAGTCAGGTCCTCATCGATGACGACCTACTGTTCCAATAGCTCCGTCCACTCCTAGTCATCCATCACTTTCTCATCCCTGCCCTCCTGGACCTCCCTGTGCTCTAATAATATCACTTATTTTCTAACAATTCAAAGGTTAAGCAAAAGTATTGCACATAATATACAATGTATTGGTATTTATGACATATTAAGACAATACGAGTGAATTGATTGCAGATTAATATCTGTCGCTATAATAACAAAATCTATTTGTGAACAACAATTGCATTCGTTTAATACAATACTGTTCAGTATATTCATAATAAAATAGGTTTTAAATATAATATATTTAACAAACGATCATTTTTATTAATTTTGAAAATATTATTAAGTATTAATATAAGTATTACACAATTATTTTATTTTTTGTGATTCCTAACAGAAACTAATTAATTAGAATTTATGTCATATATAATTGTTTATCACATTAACATAAAATAAAGTACCTTTACAATTAATCCAAATTTAAATTTGTTTGAATTTGAAAATGTGCCCAATTTTAGAGAAATTTGAAATTTGTGATAAAATTGACTCAAATATGAAACAAAAAATTAAATTATTTCATGTTTTGTATTCTGGGTTTACATTTAATATAATACCAAATAATATACTGTTCATAACCACCGATGATATGGTGTATGGGTTGGGGATAATGTTAATGGTGTCTAGGCTTAGGTCACAAGGAGTCCATTACATCACAACATATACTAAAATTATGTCATCAAACGATTCATACATTTATTATTGGATATGACTTTGTGTTGGCTATGAATACTGTGAATCATGTCTATAGTTGGGGTCACAACTGGTGGGGACAGTTAGGTAGAGATGTGACACCAGAAGCCGTATATTCAAAAGCCGGGAGAATATCGTATTTCGGCGACAATAATGTCCAACAAATCAGTCCTTTCACTCACTGGCCCTCACATCCAGTGGACAGGTGTATGGGTTGGGGTGTAATAGTGAGGGACAGATTGGTTGTGGAGAACAACAAACTGAAAAAATTAGAAAACCAATTTTAATACAGTTTACAAATAATCCTAAAATCCAATCAATTTATTGCTATAATTTGTGTTCATATGCCATCACATGTGACGGACTTGTGTACAGTTGGGGTGATAAGTTACCATCAATTGGGACACAATATAATTAATAAACGTATATTTAGTCCTAAACTGATATCTACTATAAATGACATCAAAACTATAACTTCATCAGAATATATGACTTATTTTCTATCAAACAGCGGTTTCATATATTTTTGTGGACATTATTCCAGTGTTAAACTATTAATGTAATGATATCAGAACAATTGGAAACAAGCAATTATTTTATAGATTTACCACAAATTGACTCGTTTTACTATTAGTTTTATAATATACCAATAGTTGTGTTAACAAACAGCAAGTTATATCAAATACGTGGAAATCAAGTGATAGAAACAAATTATAATAATTTTATTGATTTATACGCTAATGAACACCAAATGACATACAAAACGTTTATTATTGATTATAAATGTTGTTTTAATGAATGTTATGATAAAACATTTGATGAGTTGAGAGTAATAGGATCGGGTGGTTTTGGGACAGTATTGCGATTGAAACACAAATATGATGGACAAATATTTGCCGTCAAATGAATTAAATTTAATGGTTATATTTATTATAAATAAATAATA